GCCTTGGGCTTGGAGCAAAGGGAGATCCAGCAGCTGATTTCGGGGTGGTTTGGTTGTGCATCAGCTCAGGGCTCAGCACTGAATCAGTTCCGCTGAGATATCGAGTTTTTCCTGGAGGGTTTTGCACGCTCTGCTGGAAAGTCCAACTCAGCAGAGGCCCCCCCTGATCTGTGGCTCAGGGGGGAGATAAGGGAAAGGAGGGGAGATAGGGCTGAACCAAATCTCTGAAGCTGAGCCCTACAAGGGCCTTCTGGTAGTGGGAGGGAAAGTTTTAACCAAAAATGAGGATATTTTGAGCAGTGTGGTGGAGAGTAAATGCAAACCCCCGAGTACAGCACGTCCTCACCCTCCCAGAGGTGCCCATTAAACCAAGCCATGCACACTCAGCCCTCCCAGCTGATCAGAGGCATTGTAGAAGTGATTGAGGATGGGTTTCACTGCTTGTCTTCACTTATTTAACAATCTTTGTACAAAACCCGTGCCTTGCTTTCGGCCTGCCCAGAGGTAAAGCTCAGAGGCTGCTCTCTAGAGAAGCAGAGCTTCTGAGAGATGCTCTGTCTGAAGAGAAACAGCAGATTCAGTGCAAAAAAAGAGATGAAAACCAAAGTAACAGCATCATTTTATATTTTATTTTTGGTGCTTTCTGTTTGTGATGCAGATAACGCAGAGCTTGGCCTATACTCAGGCAAGGTAAATAAATATGTTTCATACTTCCAGCTGCAGAAACAACAGACACCAAAGCACCTTAGAAACTCTTGGTTGCATAATTCAGCTGACCAAAGTGCTCTAATGTCACTGTTAATGTGGATGTTTGACTTTGTGTCACTTTGTGTGTCACTTTGTGCTCTGCCCCGCTGGAGCCGCGCTCGCCGAGAGCCCCAGGGCCCGTGTGGGCACAGGTGTGACTTTGTGGGCTGCAGATAAAAATAACAGGTAGAGGTGAGACTCTGTGGCCTAAACCTTGATGCTTTCACACACTGGCCCAGCTCAGGCTTCGTTCCTTGACCTTAAAAGGCCAGACCCTGGTTCTGATAAGAGCTTCTTCCCCTGGCTGCCCCTTCACGGCCGCCTCCTCCCAGGCCTTCCCCACCTCCAAGGAATGCAGATGTTTGATTCCTCCCTTTTCCCCTGGGTTCAACCCTCATTTCTCTCTATTTCGCTTCCACGTGCTTCAAATGTTGAGTTCTGAAGGAAATTCCCACCTCAGCACCATCACTTGGAATGTGAGGGGTTGGATTAATGTGGGAGAAGTTCAATAAAATTGGTTTTCAGGAAGGTTCATTGCTCAGGTTCTGTCTCACAAATGCCTGGTTTGGGTCCCTTTTCCCCCTGTGCTTCCCAGCCTGACTGAACAGTGAATATTGGGAACAGTAACCCTGAAACTTCCCATGGGATCCCCTTGTGATGGGCACCAGGAGCAAGGGAAGGACGGGGAGGGAACAACCTGCTCTGCCCACTGTGGGTGAGGAGTTTATTCAGTGAAAAAGCCACTTGTATATCTCTGACTCATTCAACAAACAACTCACGTCACCTCCAAAACTGAAACATTCCTGCTAAGTGATTAAGCCCTGAAAAAACTGCATTTCTGCCTCTTGACACTGTAAGAAACCAGAAATCCACTTGCTGAAATTCTCCTTTTGATGCTTTCAGGTCAGCAGTAATTCTGATCAAAAGGTGGAGGAATTACCCCAGGCTTATTCATGCTAAAGGACATTCTTTGTTTTGGTTTGTAATTACACTCAGAACCTTTGTGTTTTCTTTGAGGTCTCCAGTGCTTAGGGATAAATGAAAATAAATGCATAAAAATGTATTTAATTACAAAATCCCACTGATTTGTGCAGAGAGTACTTTGGTGGGACTTGTCCTGATTAAACCAGAACAATGCTCTTGTCACACTGGGCAAACTGGGAGAGGGAATAGATGTGGATTGTTCTGGTTTGCAGGTCTGAGTTATGCAGAGGTCACTGGTGATGACAACTGGCCAGTACTGAAGGTTTCTAAATCTGCATAAATAAAGATTTCATCTACGAGCAGTAGAACACTGAATCCAAGGCCTTGAACAGCATTTTAGGCTCAGTGCTCACCTTTCTGCTGGACAATATTTGTGGAATTCTGTGTATGTATGATGGAGCTCATTTTATCCATTCTCACATTGTTTGATCCTCAAAATCCTCGTGAGATCTTTCCTGCTTCACTCGTTAGGTGCTTGGGATACTTTAAAAAGAGATCTGATTTTCTGAAATACCTTTAAATGGACACTGAGTAGGTTTTGATGGGATATTGGGGCAGGAATTGTTCCCTGGCAGGGTGGGCAGGGCTGGCACAGGGTGCCCAGAGCAGCTGTGGCTGCCCCTGGATCCCTGGCAGTGTCCCAGGCCAGGTTGGACATTGGGATTGGAGCAGCCTGGGACAGTGGAAAGTGTCCCTGCCATGGCAGGGGTGGCACTGGATGGGCTTTGAGGTCCCCTCCAACCCAAGCCATTCTGGATTTTATGATACTTTGCTTCCAAAATTTTGCCCTCTCTGATTTATGAGTTGAATCCTGGAGGAATAACAGGTGACTCTTGGAAAACCAGACCATTCAAATGTGGTCTTTCACATGGAGCTCAAAAAGTGAAGAACCCTGGATATTTTTCAACCTCCAGATACAAATTACAGCTGGACAATGTTTAGGAATTATTTCCCACAAAATGAGCTCTTTTGAGTTGTGTTGATGTGGCAAAGATGAGAGAAAAGCCTAAACATGATCCTTGATAATTTCTGTTTCTGTGTGTCCTTCACTGAGATCAGCTGGTCCCTGCCCAGAGTGAGTTATTTGGAATTATATCTTTGTCTTTTGCTTGAGGATGGTTCTCAGCCACAGAGAAAAGAGTGACTGGTGCTGCTCACAGAATGAATTGGTTCAGCAGGAAGGGTGGAATTACTTATGTGCATTGTTGGCCATGTGGATTCTCAGAAAGCTCACGTGCCACATTTTCACAAACTTATGCAACCCTGACTCTGCAGGAGTTTGATCTCTCACTTCACCTCAATATCTTGATTTCATTTCATTCCTAAATAGCTTTTTGAAAAATTCTGGCTAAAAACTGAACAACGCTTGGCTTTTGGATGTCATGGTGGATTTATTGCCTCTCCATTTGGGCAGTGTTGAGTCTGAAATATTTTTTCTTGGGGGAGTTTTTAGCTGAAAGCATCAGCCAGCCCATTCCCCCCCCAGCAGTGTGAGCAGCCCTGCCAGGAACCTCGGGGCTGTTGTCCCCATGACTCAGAAAAGCTCTTGTCACTTATAGAAACAGCTGCTGGGATTATTCCATCTCTGAGGGAACCATGAGCACATCTCAGTGCTGATGAAGTGTCCTGGAAGCAGCACACACCGAGGGGACCCCTTGGTCACTGTTTGTTGGTGTTGATGGGTCACAGCAGTGTCAGGCTCAGGAGATGAAGTGAAGGAGCTTTTCCAAGGGCCCTGGGGATTGAAACGTGGCCAGTACCAAAACTCCAGTGCCTCAGTTGCTCGTTGAAGTCAAACAATTATGCTTTTCTTTATCATTTTAGAGTAACCCTGGAGAGGTGGTGGCTTATCAGGCTCAGTGCTGGCTGGTCCCTCTGGCCCAGCGTCCTGTTGGAAGGGACGTGGTCCTGAGCAGGGGAGAGTTTCTGAGAACTGTCACAACACCTCAGGGAGAATATTCTCAACATCCTGTAGTGACAGGACAAGGGACAATGGCTTCAAACTGACACAGAGTAGGTTTGGATTGGGTATTGGGAAAAAAATCCTTCTCTGGGAAGGTGGGCAGGCCCTGGCACAGGGTGCCCAGAGCAGCTGTGGCTGCCTCTGGATCCCTGGCAGTGTCCCAGGCCAGGTTGGACACTGGGGATTGGAGCAGCCTGGGACAGTGGAAGGTGTCCCTGCCATGGCAGGGGTGGCACTGGATGGGCTTTGAGATCCCCCAAGTCAAACCACTCCATGACAGCAAAGCTGTTTTGTAACTCTGCTTCAGCTGCTACCCAGAGTCCGTGACTGAGGTAAATCAGTTCTTCTCCCTGTGCCTTCCTTATCTCCCAAACAGGGCTAATGACTCTTATTTCCTTTGTAAGGCAGCTTGAGATGAGTGAGAGATCACTACTAATTTTTATCATCTTGACTGAAGTTACTTAGATAAAGTGTGATTGTTCACTGAGTCGGTGAAACGTGTGGGGTGGAACTCTGCTCAGTCATGCACGGGTTTTGGATATCTTGGGGTGCACTTTACAGAGGTTGGTGAGATGTGAGTGATTGATTGATTGATTGATTGATTGATTGATGTGCTGACACCTCAGAACCTGAATATTTTGAAAATGTTACAGAATCTGAATATTTTGAAAAGGTGGCTCTGATACCTTAAGTTTTAAGTTTTTTTGTTCTGATTTGGTGTGCAGCTTTTAGTTTTATATTAAGGGTTACTAGGGTCTTTTCACAGGGTGGTAAAGACAGAACAGTCCCATTCCAGCTGGGGACTCAAGGACAATCTCTTCAAACTTCAGGCCCTAAGCATAAACAATGTGAAAAGAGGAGGGTGGGCAAGCAGGCAAGGAGGATGAAACTTCATGATTTGAGGCTGTTAATTGGACAGTTCTGTATGCAAATGCACTAAAACCTATAAAAATATAAGATCACATGACCAAACTCTCTTTTGCTTCCATCTTGGAGCCATCCAGGGAAAAGCCATGGCTGTGGCACTGGCATTGCCAGGGTGTGGCCTTTGAAGTCCCCTCAATAAATATCCATTTTATTCCTCTTAACTCTGTCTAGCCTCTGTTCCAGCTCCTTTAGGCATCAGCTCCAAAATGACAGGAATAAGCAGGAAAAGCCGTCCTCATTTTCCACGTGTGTGTGTGTGTGTAACAGAGAGAAAACACAACCCCATTCTGATATTAATTTACCCTAATTCACAGCACCATCAGAGGTAACTAATGAGCGTTCTCATTCCCACAGAACCCCAGCTGCCTTCCCCACCATCATGGACAACTTCCTGGCCCCTCGGGGCGAGCTGGTGCTGCAGCAGGGCCGGGCGCAGCTGCTGCTGGGGAAGGCGGGCGGTCACTCGCGCAGGAAGAGGGAATTCATGCCGGATGACAAGAAGGACACCATGTACTGGGAGAAGAGGCGCAAGAACAACGAGGCCGCCAAGCGCTCGCGGGAGAAGCGGCGCCTCAACGACGTGGCCATGGAGAGCCAGCTGGCAGCGCTGAGCCGCGAGAACGCCGTGCTCAGGACCGAGCTGCTCTCCCTCAAACTGCGCTTTGGGCTCCTCAGCCCCCAGCCCAGCCCCTACCAGGGTCACCCCCTCGGCCTCTACCTCAGGGGGCACCGGGCAGCCTCACCCCTGCTGGGCACGGAGCCCTTTGCTGGTGATTCCTGCTGCCCTGCCCAGAAGAGTTTTGTGCCCAAGGTGCTGGAGCTGGCTGAGTTTCCTTGCAAAACCTTCAACCCCTCCACAAATATCCTCTGCTGCGACTCCAAACCCATTCCCATGGACACACCCGGCCTCCAGCAACACAAAAGGTTTGAGGAATCCTTCAGCCCCAAAAGGTTCGATGCATCCTTCAGCCCCAAAAGATTCGAGGAATCCTTCAGTCCCAAAAGGTTCAATGCATCCTTCAGCCCCACGGTTTGCTCCTCGTTCCTCAGCTACCCCTGCCCAGACAAACATCCCTTCCCCTGCCCTTGGCTGGGCAATGCCTGCTTCTTGTGCCCATCCCCTGGCACTGCAGAGGCCAGGAAGGAGAGCAGCACTGTGGTGTCGGATGAAGATGATGAGCAACAAGTGCCCAAAACATCTCCTGTGCCCTCCTGCAGCCTGCCCTGCCCCTCGGAGGAGCAGCTGAAGGGCCGGAGCTTTGCTGCCCTCCCACACAAGCTCCGGATTAAGAGCAAAGCCCTGGGCAGTGTGGAGGAGACTGGGCTGGACTCACACTGAGGCAGCACAGGAACAGCTGCTGTGGGGCCAGAGTGAGACATTCCAAGGGCACGAAGGGTTTGGGAGGATGAGGTGACAGGGAAATGCCTTTTTCTCCAAAGATGGACATAATTTTCCCTGCTCTGTGTAGATGCTGAGGGAGTTTCTGGGGCTGTGTCACTACAGCACAAGTGCAGCTGGCCAGGACCCTGCGGTCACCCCCTGGTTCACTGGTGGCTCTGCTGCCACATCAAACTCACACTGGAGGTGTGAAGGGGCAGGAAGAGGCCAAGACAGTGGGGATGGTTCCCACACAATGTGACATCACTACAGCTGGTGAGGGTATCAACCACTGTAGTGACATTTGCTTCATCACCGCCTTCATCCTCACCAATGTGCCTGAAGTCAGAATTCCCTGACACAGGAAACTGTTGATGGAACCAGTTTCAGACCCCTCAGCTGTCTGGAGAAATTAAAAAGGGTTTGTGACTCTGGGAGTGTTGATTTACACTGGCATGAAATGAAAGCAGGACCTCCTGCTCTTTATTCCAGTTTACCATAATTTATCTCCAGAGAGAAAGAACTCTTTCTCTGTGACCAGACATGCTGTGGTCCAGAAGATAATTCCATTTATCTTCGCAACTGTTATTATGGAAGACTAAATATTATTTTATTATTATTATTGAAATGCAAAAAATATTTTAGTTTTGCTTTTTTTCTTTTAAAACAGCATTTTCAAACCTGATATTTGTGTATTTGGGAACTCTTTATCAAACAGACACAAGCTGCACATGGTGTTTGTATTTCTGCATCTGCTGGGACCCAGTCCCTGTCCCTCCTGCCTTCTGCCTGCCTTTGCTTTGGGAAAGCCTCAGGGAGAGCAGCCTCCTGCAGGGCTCTGGAGCCTGCTTGGAGCTGTTCCTCAGTTTTCAAGCCAAAGAGAATTCTCAGGGATGCACTCCAGGTACAGCTGTAACTTCCTCTCCTCAGATCTTTCCTGCTTTGTCTCTTTTCCCACGGAAAGGCTGATCCTGCAGTTCTGATGTTACTGTATCTGTCAGCCCCAAATATTTTTTGACATGTTGGACAAGATCAGCCCAATCTCATGATTCCATCGGCCCCAATCCAATGGAAGAAGATCTCAAAGTGAAAAAGCAACTCCAAGCTGTTCTCCTCTGCCCCAACCACACATTCTCAGTCCATGTCTCATGTCCCAAAAGACAGAAGAGCTGCAGGACCTGCCCAGCCCTGCTGAGAACCAGAGCTGACAGTGGAGCTCAACATCCCAGCTCAGACCCCTGGGAGTCTCCACTTCATCAGTTCCAGCCCAAGGGATTCTCCTGTTCCTTTGTGTGTCTGTCACTCTGTCCCCTCAGGTGAGACCCCACCTGCAGAGCTGCCCCAGCCCTGGGGCCCAGCACAGGGAGGACCTGGAGCTGCTGGAGAGAATCCAGAGGAGACACCAGGATGATCAGGGGGATAGAGAAGCTCTGCTGGAACAGCTGGGATTGTTCACCTGGAGAAGAAAAAACTCTGGGATGATTTCATTGTGGCCTTCCAGTGCCTGAAGGAGCTAAGGAAACATGGAAAGAGACAATCACGAGGACAAAAGGGAATGGTTTCCACTGCCAGAGGGCAGGGTCAGATGGGATACTGGGCAGGAATTCCTCCCTGGGAGGGTGGGGAGGGTGCCCAGAGGAGCTGTGGCTGCCCCTGGATCCCTGGCAGTGTCCAAGGCCAGGCTGGACAGGGCTTGGAGCAGCCTGGGACAGTGAAAGGTGACCCTGGCCATGGCAGGGGTGGCACTGGATGGGCTCTGAGGTCCCTGCCATCCAAACCATCCCATGATCCATGAAAACTTCAGGCTCTGGAGAATAAGGACAATTGTCAGGAGTGTTTTTCTCGGAATCATTTCATAGTCAAGGAATGCAGCAATAAGAGGACCATGCAAAAGGACAGCCCACGCTGCCTGACAGAGGATGCAACAATCCCTCAAACTGGGTTGGAAAAGAGGGCCCTGAGTGGGAGCTGTACAAGGGATCTGAACTGGGGAGGGACCAACATGTGCCCAATAAAACTCTGCAGGAGCTGCAAAAGGTGTCTTGGTTTGACTGTTGGGACTGGATCTGCATCTTTTCCCCTCAGGAACAGGCAGTGTCCTAAATCCATCCAGTGAGAACAAGGGGAACAAGCAGGGAGCTGTGGCACCCCTTCCCCATTCCTCTGTCCATGAAGGTGTTTTCCCTTTGTTTGTGCCTCTGTTCCCACAGCAGGACCCCAGCTCCAGCACAGACCCTGCAGCACTGGGGTGTGGGGCTCTGTCCCGGCTCACCACTGTTTATAGGGACACCCTTCAAGGATCAGCCCCGACTGTTCTGGGTCAGGATCAGTGCACAGGAATGGGCAGAGCTTCCTGTGCCAGGGCACAAGGGGGGCTGTCCTGTGCCCCTGGCATGGGGGAAACCGGAGCTGCAGCCGCTGCTTAAGTGTGAAACTCGAGGCAGTGATGCTCTGCAGATGAAAGGAAATCACACGTGGTTCATTTCCTGTCCCATTCCCGCTGTCCCCTCTTCCCCTCGCAAGCGGCAGGGACAGCCCATGGCAAGGAGGTGGCACAGAAATGTGTAAAACTCCTCCCTCCTTTTCCTGCTCTTCCCAGTCCCTGTGGGATCAGCTTTTTTTCTCCCTGGGCAAGGCTGGGCTGGCTCCGTGTGCTTGCCAAGAATTCGGGATGCAGCGAGGGGGTGGGAGGGAGCTCAGTTTAATCTGTAGGGTGGATTTGGGGCTCAGGGGTTGTCTCCAGGACCTGCTGTCCATTTTAACCCTGCTACACCCCCTAATCCTGCTGCATCCTAATCCTGCTGCATCCTAATCCTGCTGCATCCTAATCCTGCTGCATCCCCTAATCCTGCTGTCCCTCCTAACCCTCCTGTCCCTCCCACCCCTCCTGCCTGTGGCCCAGTAATCCAATCCCTAGAGATTTAACCCTGCAGGTGCCCAAAGGTAGTTTTTTGTGGGGTGTTTAGAACATTGAAGAAATGAGTAACATTTCCTGTTTGCTGCATCCCTGCTCTTGTAAAAACCAAACGGGTGAAACCTGGTTTGGAGTCAGGGCTGCTGGTGCTGGGAGCTGTTGGGTGCCTGTGGAGGGAGTGGGAGGGTGGGAGAGCAGCAGGAAAAGCAGCAGGAGATGGGGACAGGGTGTGCAGTGAGCCAGCCCTGCTCCCACACCTGTCTCCCTCTTTCCAGGATTTCCTTTCCTTCCCTCCAGGGTCGCTCACCTGGATGAGATGGAGATGGTTCTTCTCCTTCTACACCTTTACTCCTGCTTTGCTGCTTTGTCCTAGAAAATTTC